AGAAATTATTGGAAAACTGTAGAAGTAGATATTGTAGAAAAACTGTAGTAACAGAAATTGTAGTAAACTGTAGCAATAGAAATTATTGGAAAACTGTAGGAATCAGAAATTATTGGAAAACTGTAGAAGTAGATATTGTAGAAAAACTGTAGTAACAGAAATTGTAGTAAACTGTAGCAATAGAAATTATTGGAAAACTGTAGGAATCAGAAATAGTACAAAAACTGTAGGAACAGAAATTGTAGAAAAATTGCAGGAGTAGAAATTGTAAGAAAACTGTAGCAATAGCAATTGTATGAAAATTGTAGGAATAAAAATTCTATGAAAACTGTTGGAATCCCTTATTATTCGGGGGCTACCCCGATTCTCTCACCGTGTTAGAACGAAATCGTGATAGAGGAATACCATATACTATAAGGAAGTTGTCTGTCCATGGCAAACAACATTGAAATTTTTGCATTCGATCTCGTCACTTTCTGAAATATAAAGTAATCAACGTGCACACCCCAGTGATCATTAAAATCACCGAAGTAACTCTTAACAAGACAACCACTCACAAACCAAACGGTGTCGTCGATTTATGCGAGTGAATGGAAGAACCGGGCCAGTCTCGATTGAAGGACAACCGAGTCGAAAATTTTACCGTTTCACGACTTCGACATTTTCTCAGGGCCCGGTAGCCAATACCTGTACGTGCATCCTGCGGATGTTACACGGGGTTCATGCACCAGGTGGTCTTAAATGGGAGCGAGCTTCCACGTTTCGCCTGACGGATAACAGAAGCTCCTCTTCTTATTTCGTATAGAAAGCGAGACTCCGAATCACGAATTGCTTCACGTCTGGGGTCCCCGTAATTTTCGAGGGAGATAGGAAAGGAAAGAGAAGGAGGACCTTTTTCGCGAACCGATCCGATGGTGGACGCTCGCGAGACCGTCGGTAGGTATCCCCTCGGCGCTCCAGGTGGTCTAATTAAATTACGGCGCTCCCGAGCGAAATAAATTGCGTTAATTACGATCGAATTAAATTATTCATCGAAACGCCGCACGGCGATCCTCGGGAAACGGGTCAACTAAATGCAAAATTTATCGTCTGGGAACTTCGGCGAGCCCCTCTGACGTTGGGCCCCCCGGATAACCGGTACCCCTGCCAGCGTGTGGTTCTCCGCAGGTTTTCTACAATAAGAAATCGGGCGATCGTTTGTGGAAATTAAATGTGTATGTATTAGGGTGGTACTTAAAATCGAAATTTGAAAATTATATCAGGACACACTCTTATTCACTTCTCCCATATGAAGGATGAGCGTATGTATTTTTTTTTTTGTAATCTGATTAGTGTAGAGTTTGACACTTGTAAGGTAATTATGGTAAAATATGGCGCATGACTATTTTTGTTATTTAATTTTGTAAAAATGTGATATATTAAAATATTATATCTGATGTCAGTGTTCCATATTTGGGTACCTATTCCGTATTAGTTTATGTTTTTTCTTAATATTAGTTCAATACTGAACATTGTTCATAGCATTAGAAATATAAGGCTATTCTCAAACTGAGCGTAAATATTGTACATAAATGAACACCCCTAAAAGTCTTTTATTTCTTGCGACTGATTTTATAAGAATGACAGTCGAAGAACAAAATGGTCTAGCTACTTTCCTCTAAAATTAGGTGTACTGATAAGTAATTCGCTATAGTTACAGTAAGGGTGTATCGCTATTTTAAATTCGGTATTCTTTTTCGATTTTTTGTTCGGTAAAAATGATGTCGAATGTTGTAAGCAAATAGCAAAAATATCATTAAGGTGGCATAAATGTTTGACTTCTTTCCAAGAAAATGTAGGATTTTATGAAAAATAGTAGATTACTTATTGGTACATCTAATACGATGGTAAAAATTAGTTTAACAAGATTCCCGTGTACGCGAATTGTCAATCGGCTTGATTTAGGTATGTCTACGACACGTTTCCGGTAATTTGGAGAACGTGTTGGATCCCGGCCAGCTGAAACAATGTCCTTAATTGGCAGAGAACTAATTAAGAACAGTACAACAGGGGAATTCAGTAACGAATCCCATGCACGACTATTCTCGATAGATTCCTTGCCCGTGTATGGCGGACTTCTCAATGGGAGAAAGTTATCGGTCGGGTTGGTTGGCCTTCCGCGTTATAAAGGTTCCATGCTGATCTAACGGCAAGTGGTTCGCCGATCGTGGACCCAGTAACTGTATTCTACTTAAAAATTTTCACTGTCTGCTACCAACGTCAAAATTTAACAAATAGACTTTATCAAATCTGTTTCTCATGTTGAAAAATAACAAGATCTTTGCCACCTATAATAATGTTTAATACTATTTTTGCGAAATAAAGATAATTTTCTCTAGGTAGAAGTAACTGTGGTAGATATCCATTGAAAACATCGTCGATCCACCACCGGATGACGCGTGGATTTTTACCGTATATTTACATTCACTTAATATTTCTCTGTCTATTTTCCCATTCAGACAATGATCCGGCTAATTCAGTTGTGAACGCACGTACAAACTGCCGGCGGTTAGTCGTCGCTTCCTCTCGAATCTTAAGGGCCCCGTACACAACGAATTTATTAACGTCATGAATCATTGAGCAGTGTGCACTGATTGTTTTCTTTTTTCATCGATGACAGATCTATTTTTGTCTTCGTAAACATTACCAGACTATAAATAACTGTAACTATTATTATTAAAAAAACACAGATCACTTAAATTTACTTTTAATGTTACGAGTGTGATCAAAATTTGAATTGTTCTTAATAATTTACATGGCCACATGAACGATGTAAAAATTTTTAAGTGATAGTTACGGCTGTAGTTCGTATTCAAATTTCACTTCATTTAAATCGCTGGACCGATCTTCATATTTACTTCACCTTTGTAAGACTTTCCTTAAAAATTGAAAAAATTAATACAAGATTCCTGTTATACAATGCACAGATACTTAACTGTTTAAAGAACATTATGACGCCCTTAGATACTAATATTTTTTAAAACAACAAAATTATGCCCAACTCTATATACTTTAGTATACATTCAACAATGACACGACCAGCGTTAAATTAGTCGTTTGAATGGTGACAAGTTAAATGTATCAACAGAGATACAGAAAAATCCTATTACACCTGTCAATCATGATTTTTCTAAAATTCGACACCGTCTAAAAAATTCAAAGGACGTAACGAGCATATAGATGGAAGTTGAAGACACTGATACATCTTTTTGACAGAGACAAGCAGGCCGAGACAAGTCATTCGCCGGTGCCATCGATGTCAGAAGACCGTCCGTCGTATTAGCATACGAAT